AATAATAATAATAATAATAATAATAATAATAATAATAATAATAATAATAATAATAATAATAATAATAATATCATATTTGACCGGACAATTATTCCCATCCACAGATTCTGCTTGCTTTATTTGTTTTCAGGTTTTGTTTGTTTCCAGATAAAATGGGCTTATACTTCTGTGGTACTGTTCTGAAACCAGCAATGGAGTAAGTCACACCTGGATAAGAGTAGGAATAAGGAAACATCCATAACATAGACTGAAGTGAATTATTGAATCCTGGACTAAATTTTATGGATCGGTAATATTAGTAACTGTGAGAGGGTTTGAGGTGTTCTAGTGGATCATCACTTATGTATGAGCCACCAATATGTTGCAGCTGCTAAAAAGGCCAATGTAATCCTAGGCTTCATCAACAAAGGGATAGCATCAATATCACAATGTTCTACAATGCACAAGTATGGCCCTACATGGAATACTGTGTCCAGTTCTGGTTGCCACAATGCAAAACAGATGCTGTGACCATAGAATGAATGCATGTCCATTATGTATGCATTGTGCTTGCCTCCAAAAGTTGTGGTATTCCATCACTGGAGGTTTTCAAGAAGAGACTGGACAGCCATTTGTCTGAAATGGTCCCTTCCAACCCTATTTTTCTATGTTCTACATTCTAGCCTATCAAGGAGAAGAATTAGGGGTGACATGATAGTTGTCTTCCAGTACTTGAGGGAATGTCATATAGAAGAGGAGATCAACTTATTCTCTGAAGTACCTGAGGGCAGGAGAAGAAACAATTGGTAGAAGCTATTAAAGAGAGATCCAATCAGGAACTAAGGAGAAATTTCCTGAGAATGAGAACAATTAAACACTGGAACAGCTTGCTTCCCTGAGTTGTGGTGTTCCATTTCTAAAGGTTTTCAAAGAATATTGGATAGCCATTTGGCTGGGATAGTATAAGGACTCCAGCCTTGAATAGGGAGTTGGACTATAAGACTTCAAGGTCCCTTCCAGCCCTATGACTCTGTGAAATGCCTCTGAAGGCATTTGTCCTTATTATACTCACAAGTATTTAATAGAAAAGTATATAGCCTTTTTTCTGCAGAAATGATAGTTTAGTAACATGAATATGTATCAACTCACCAGCAGGTGAATTTGTGATTACTGTTAGAGTTTGATATAAAATGGACAGCTATATAAATGTTGCAGAAGCCAATCTGGGTCAGTCACTGGAATCAGAGGTTTTGTCTGACGCAGATTGGATCCTGAAACATTCTCCTGGGACACATATATTCGCCTTTATTCATATATACATGTTTTAAATAATAAAATAAAAGTAAAATTATAGGAGAATGGTACGTATTTTGCTTCTCATTTTTCCCATTGGAAATATCTATATTATATAATTCAGTTGGTTGATTTGATTACCCATGTTTGAAATAAAATCATTAAAATAAAATTATTCCACAACTAAATAAAAACATAATATTTTTAATAAAAATGAATTATTTTAAACTGAAAAATAATTTTCTCTATACGTTTGAATACATTCTATAATATTATTCCTTTTTAGTAATTTCAAACAATATTGTAATAAATTAAAATATTTCTTTTATATAAAAATGCATTTGCTATTTAATCCTTTAATGTTCACTTTTGCAAAATATGCAATATTGTATTTATCATAACTAAAAATATACAAACATAAAAACATTATATATGTATTTAATAAACTATTTAATTAAATGCATTTCATTCTGAATTTCTTGTGTCAAAATTTTGATAAAACTCAATTATTAACCAATACTTTTGCCACATGGCTATAGTTTAAGCGAAACAGTTCATAAAGCAAAAGTGATAATTTTAATAATATTCCATGACTTTATCTTATCATATCTATTGATAAATGTAGAATAGCTACATAAGTTTTAAAACTAAAACAAAGTATTGTGGAGAGTCACATTAACAAGACTCAGCTTATTAATAAGTTAAAATACAGTAAACATTTTGTTTAAACTCCACAAAAACAAAACTTACAATAATTTTTATCCATGTCAAACATATTGCTTACCCTTGATCACGTGCCCTGATTCGACTGTGGGTCAAAATCTTGTCATAATGAGCAGTGGAAGATTCTGCTAGATGAAAAACTGGCATAAAACAAATAGTGACTGTAACAACCCAAAGGAAGTCCATGTTGCTGTCTCTCTGTTTCTTGAATGTCTGAGAAGAGAACTGGCAAAGGGTATAGAGAGCTCAAAGTTTATATCCAAGATGCAAGGCAGAGGGAGGAGAAAATATATCAACCTGAAACTTTGAACCACCCTCTGAGAAAGAGGAGCATCAGATGATTGTAACCAGTTCTGTATGTATGTGAATTACAAAGCAATCTATTCATTTTGACAGCTCACATAAAATTAATTACAGTTTAGATATAACTAGAGTTTATAATGGAGAAAATTTAAAGTTTCTGGATGGCCTCACAAGTTCAAGTGACTGAATGTTTTTCCACATACAGATATATAAAACTACTGGATAAAGAACACAAGATACCAGTTTTTTTCTAACATAGTTCTCTATGAGATATGAGTCTTCATTCTGCCTATAGAAAGTAGAAATGTCATATTACTTTGTATTATAAGCATTTTAAGTACTCCTCATCCAGAAGGATCAAACCAGAGTTAGTGCTAGTCGTCTTCTTGATGTACTAATTGATATACTTTTTCTATATAAAATAACATAGGAAAATAGGATATTTTAAGGAGAAGCATGATATCTAGGAACCATTGGTCTGAAATAGTTAATTTTAGGAAAATTGTTCAATATATTCATCCTAATTTGATAAAACACATGTATTTATAAGTAATTCCAACAATAAATGCTTAGCAATGTGTTGTAAACAATTGTAAAATGTTGATTAATAATATTCACAATAAGTCAGTGAAAAACTAGGAATAGTGGTGCTCATAGTTTTCATAACTGAATCAAGAAATTTCTAAGTAGCTTAGGAACTGATTTTACAATTTCACATGAAGACAAGAGTTGACCAAGCCAAGAGTTTTTCAAAACATCTGTTTCATGGAAATTTAGGGTTCCATAAAAGTCTCCTGGACGGTGGGTGGAGTTTACTTGAATGCAGCCAATTTTCTCATAGACTTTGCAATGTTTTCAGTAAAGCTTACAATAATCTATTTCACACAAGTAAACTAGGAACATACAGTACATCTCTACATTTGAAGAAGCTTTGACTGTGGTATGCATGTAGAATCAGAATAACAGAATAATGAGTTAGAAGGGATGTTGGAGATCTTCCAACTCCCCACTCAAGCAGAAGACCCCTACACCATTTCAGGCAAATATATTCAGTGTTTCTCACTGAAGAGAGCACAACTTGCTTGAATTTCAAAAACACTGTCTTGGTCCCTTCAGTATAATAAACTAAAGTCAAATCAAAAATATATATCAACACTGAATTAAATAAATGCATGAATATTTGTATTAAGAATGCCTTCATTGTAATAAATTCACACATTATTCACTTAATAGAATCTTCATTAAAAAAGAGTTTCATCTTAAAAGACTAAAAAAGTGGCAGCGGTGATGGACTGCCCTCTTGTGGGGAGAGAAAAAGGAAACTACTATATGGAAAAGAGGAATGTTCTCTGTGACCATTTTGCTTTGGAATGCCCTCTTATGGTCAACATAAGAAAACTACCACAAACCAGTTTTATAACTGGTGATGATACAATAAATCAAATAAATTAGTTGAAAATGTCTATTAAGAATATTCAGCAGCCCAAACCATACCATTTTAGCAACCCAATTAGACTTCAACATTATCATCTGAATGCCATCTATGAGAATAGATAAGTGTCACAGATTGTATTTAAACAACAATTCTGAATGTTTATAACATGCAGTAATAAAGCAACATTTCTGAGATTTGTTATTTTTGATTACTCTAATACAGAATGGAATTCATGAAACCTGGTAGTTTTCTTAATTCTTCTTGCTAGGGAGAAGACTAATCAAGAACTGTTTTTAAAAATTTACTGACCAGGAAACTTCAGTGGTTTTACAGTTAAATGCTGCATTTAAAATAATAAGCACCAAAGGATTTTCAAACATGAGGCCTCTCTATTATGCTGCATCATACTATGTAAATGTTATAGACTGAATTCAGACCACAATTATTTGCAAATCCTATTACACATTACATATTGTCCTCAACTTACAACTATTTGTTGGTGTCTATTTGAAGTTACAACACCACTGGAAAAAGTGATTTATGACAATTTTTCACACTTATGACCACTATCACATCCTCATGGTCATGTGATCAAAATTTGGAGGTTTGGAAACTGGTTCATATTTATAATGGTTATAGTGTCCTGGAGTCATGTTACAAGCAAAGTCAATGGGGAAGCCAGATTCACTTAAAAACCCTGTTACTACAGTGATTCAGTTAGCAACTATGGTAACAAATTTGCTTAACAACTGTCTCACTTAGCAACAGAAATTTGGGGCTCAATTGTGGTCATAAGTTGAGGGCAACCTGTAGTTCAAGTTTCCAAGGTGGTGGAACAGTAGAACTAAAAAGGGGTACTGATCCATGCTGTCCCTAGTTAGGAGAATCTGGAAATTATGTTGTTTTCTCTAATGACTTGACTTTGACTTGAAAGAAACAAAACAAAAAAGTAATTTTCCACCAAAAGTTTTGGTACATTAAAAAGACTATTTGATCTGTTTCATTCCAGGGAAAAATAATCTAGTAATGGATTGCATTTCACTCATCTCTGTTTCATTTAAAAATTGGCAATTTTGCTTTCCTTTGATACAAACAAAATAACTTTCATCACTTAAATTAAGGCCTACCCTTAGCAGTAGTGATTAATTATACCATAGAAAATAGAGAATTAAATACATTTGAGCATTAGGCCCTAGCCAACAAGATGCAGTTTAGCAGTGAAAATTCAAGGTCATGCATTTATGCATGAAAAAACAAAACAAAATGTACAGTATAGAATAGGCAGTTCTCAGCTCAACACTAATAACTGTGAGAGGGATCTAGGCAGGGGTGGGATTCCAATTTCTTAACAACCGGTTCTATGGGTGTGGCCTAATTTGTGTGTGTGTAGCTTGGTGGTCATGTGACTGGGTGGGTGTGGCTTGCTGACTGGGCATGGCTTGGTGGTCATGTGTCTGGGTGGGCATGGCTTGCATGTAAATATTATAAATATTTATATAAATATTGAATTTTTTATTAAAAAAGAGCAACTTTTACCCAAAAGCAGGCAACGCAGGCAAGCAGAATGAGTTGCTCACAGAATCACAGATTCACTCACAGATCTATCTACCTCCAATCGGCTACTTGAGTCTGTCACATAAAATTTGCTAGCAAGCAAACTCACAAAATTAACTCACAACATACCATGTATATAAATATTGAATTTTTTATAAAAAAAGAGCAACTTTTACCCAAAAGCAGGCAAAGCAGGCAGGCAGATTGAGTTGCTCACAGAATCACAGATTCATTCAGAGATCTATCTATCTGCCATTGGCTAGCTCAGTCTGTCACATAAAATTTGCTTACAAGCAAACTCACAAAATTAACTCACAATGTACTATGTATGTAAATATTGAATGTTTTATATTAAAAAAGAGCAACTTGTTTGATGGGTCCGCATGTGAATGAGAGGCAGGACACAGCGGGAATGGTAAGTAGCTTTATTTAGGTTCAGTTCAGAAAGGGCCGCATGGTCGCAGCAGGTGCTGGCTTTTAAAGCTGGCACTGTCCAAAGCTTCAGCCACTGATGGGGCTTTATTTCTCCTGCCAGTGGCTGAGCCAATGAGTGGAGTCTGTTAGCCGACTCCACTCCTTGGCCATATTTGGTCATATACAACACCCCTCCCCTCCTAGTAATTGTCATCCAATCAGCATTCATCTACCATGTGTAATCACATTGGTAGGTGGTGCTTCGATGGGTGCAACTGGACCTGCGCACCTCACTTGTTCCTGGGGTGGCGGCCTGAGCGGACAGGTCCACTGCTGCTCTGGTCCCTGCTTGCGGAACAGTCTTGAAGCCCACTTGTGGCGCGGCAGGGACCGTTGAGCCTGAGGCCTCAGAAGGACACAGTGGGACTTCCTCTTCGCAAGATAAGTGTCTTTGCCGTTGTGGTACAGGGGTTGGTGTCTGTGCCCTGGGTTGTTCTGTTGCCATGTGTCAGTTGCCGGGCTGGTTGTCTGAGTTCGAGACCCGGCCTTGTAGTTGATCAATGTGCTGTTCCCATAGCTTTCCTTCTTCTGTCTCCACTCGGTAGGACCTGGACCCTGTGATCTCGGTTACCTTGGCTGGCATCCATGTTGGTCCTCCAGTGTAGCTATGAGCATAGACCGGGTCCCCTATAGCAAATTGTCTGCACTTTCCCATCGAGTCTGGGGATGTCTCTGTGCCATACTTGGGGTGGACGCTGTCAAGCGTAGTCCACAGCCTCCATCCCATTAGTAGTTCTGCTGGGCTGCTGTGTGTTGTTGTGTGAGGTGTGATGTGTTAGACTAGGAGCATTTTGTTGATCCTTTCCTGCCAGTCCTCTCGGTCCATCCACTGTAGTGTCTCTTTGGTTGACTGGACCATTATCTCTGCTTGTCTATTCGTGGCTGGGTGAGCAGGTGCTGACAGTGCATGTCTGACCCCCAGTCCAGCCAGAAAGGCTTTGAACGGCTGAGAAGTGAACTGTGGCCCGTTGTCCAAGACGAGGACGTCTGGTAAACCGTGGGTGGCAAATAGCCATCGGAGTGCCCTTATGGTTGCCTCCAATGTGGTGGATTTCATTAGGATTGCTTCCAGCCACTTGGAGTATGCATTGACGACTATGAGGAATGTCTGTCCCTGGCAGGGCCCTGAGAAGTCGACATGTATTCTGGCCCATGGGGCTGTAGGTGTCTCCCACTTCCTGGGTCTTGCTGCACGGGGTGCCGGTTTGGTTTCTTGGCAGGGGCTGCATGTGGCGATCCAGGTTTCTATTTCCTTGTCTAGTCCTGGCCACCACACATAGCTTCGGGCTAGGGCTTTCATCCGGACTATTCCGGGGTGCCCCTCGTATAGAATCTCCAGTATTTTATTCCTTAGTGGGGGGGATAACTACCCTGTCCCCTCACAGTATACAGCCTTTTAAAACTGACAGTTCAGCTTGTCTATTTTTATATTGCTGATTTTATATTGGGTTGCCTCCAGCCATCCCCTCCACACCCAGTTCGAAAT